AGGACTGGTGGGAGGCACAGCAGAGGACATTCTCTGCCACGTCAGTGCACGGCACCCACCCCTGCCAGGGAATGGGGTGGACATGTGGGGGCTCAGGAGCTCTGGAAGGCGTCAAAATGTTTGACTGGCATCACGAGGATATACCAGGTAGCAGATGAAGAGATTTGAAAGTTACCGAGGGTTTTACAAAAGTTGGATTTGTTACACGTGAAGGGAGAAGACTAGCATTTTCTTCCTCTGGGGGTCAGGGCGACTCCCAGAGGAAGCTCCATCTGAGAATCAGGCTGACCCGGATTCAAGTTCTAGCTCCACCCTTTCCCTCTGGGAGCCTGGACAAGTTCAATCCTCTTCGGTGAAAACTAGCTTTCCAAGTCACTCAGTGTCAAAGTCTCAATCCTTACTGTCATGTATGATCGACTGGGTCTCTGGCCGTTCACTTTTCCACCCCTTTGACTCATGAATGCCCCCCTTCCCTACTTTTGGTATAGGGGATTGAATCCAGGGGTGCTCGGCCACTGAGCTACTTACACAACAGCACTTTTTGTTGAGAAAGGATGTTGCTAAGTTGTTGAGGTTGGCTTTGAATCTGAACTTGTGATCCTCCTGCCTTAGCCTCCCAAACCACTGGGATTAACAGGCATGCACCATATCTGACCCTTATTTTTTTTAATCTTGCTAAGTTTCTGAGGCTGGCAGATCCTAATGTTTCAGTCCCCCAGAGAAGCTGGGATTACAGGCATGTGCCACTATGCTGGGGCCCAACTAGCCACCTTTTTTTTTTTTTTTTTGGTTGGTGGACACAACACCTTTATTTTATTTTTATGCAGTGCTGAGGATCGAACCTAGTGCTTCATGTGTGCTAGGCAAGCGCTCTGCCACAACTCCAGCCACACTTCTTGCTACATTCCCTTGGCACATTAAAAACCAAAAAAGAGCCCAACATTCATCCAAGGCAGGCCCAGTTCTGCCTAGCAGCAGGTGCCAACCTGCAGAGGACTGTGGAGAAAGTAGTG